ATCTGCATATCAAAGGAACAGTTCTAAGAACGTGAAATTGTATTATTTACTCACCTGACTTACTTTCCTCTATAGTACAAGTCAAGTTTAGTTGTATTGCATTTTTCACATTACACATTGTATCAAAGCAGCTTTACAGGAAATCAAGATGTAAGGTTTATAATATCTTAATGCCTTACAGTCGCATTTTGCAGATCTGGGCGAAAATATAGTTAGCATTTTTCAACAATATAAACAATCAAGCCATTGAGATTTGCTATATAGTAAACATTGCTTTATGTGCAGTATACTGTATGCCTATGCAGATAAAGTTGGACATATATATCCATTATAAAGAGTTGTGCGATAATATAGTCATATTTTGTGACAATCAAGCGGTTGATATTAGCTAAAGAGCAAATATTGCGATTATATATATATATATACTGTATATATACACACATATAGTTATAGAGCTGTGCAATATTGCGACAATCAAGCAGTTGATTTTTGCTAAATTGTAAATATCGCTTTAAGTGAGTATACTGTATGCAAATAAAGTTGAATATACTATATATTAAACTTTATACACAGAGCTTTGCCATAATATACATAGGAATAAAAAAGGAGATATTTTGAATAGTGTCCGTGCTGCTCTTTTCCATACAACGAAAATGAATGGGGACCAAAAATCATACAGGTCTGGAAAGACAATAGGATGAGTAAATGGCACAATTTTCATTTTTGGATGAACTATCCCTTTAAATGTACCAGTACTGACCCAGTTTCTCATAATGTTCATGACAGCACAGCTGAATCCAACAATGCAAAGCTAATACCTTGCTAAATTAAAGGCAACCAGGTGGAACATGTTGCGTTTTCACAGGGAAATTGTATTATTAAGAAGGATTTGAGGGATAAAAATATTTGCGAGGGAAGGAAGTCTGAAGTATGGATGGAATATGGCATGTGGTGGGCTGAAGAGAAGATAAATGACACACAGGTGTGTCTCTGAGCTCTCCATTACACATTGGTTAATAGCTGGCGCTCTGCTCACTGAGGCTTTACTGGTCTCTCGCTGTGTGTGTCAACACGCGTTAAAGACACACTGTATCTTTGTTAAAACAAGGTCATTTTAACAGAATAACCCCTGAGTTAGGGATGGGAGATGTTAGTTAGCTTTCTTTTCCATTCTATATGAAGCATCAAGGCCAATAATCACTGATATCGACAGCAACACAGATACCTTTTTATTAAAAACAAAGGTTGTGATTTATGTAGGTAAATGGTAATTATTTGGATTTAACATAAATTCAGTTACAAGATCATTAACACAAAATTCAGGCTGAGAATGGTGCAAGAAGTGAAGGACTTTATTCAGGACAGGCTGTGTTGTGAGTCAGCTATACACTGACAGAGACCCTGTGGCGCATGAGGACACATTTAGGTGTGACACTGTGTCAACTGGCATCAAGCTGTCCCTCTCTGCCCTAAGAGCAGCTACATTTCCAAATGCTAGCATATTCAGATGTTCCTAAAGAAACAGTTCATCCAAAAATGAAAACGTTGTCATTATTTACCTTAACTTTTTTCTTCTGTGGGGCACAAAAGGAGAAATCCTGAAGTCTGGTCAATCCATGCAATTATAGTGAACAGGGAGTGAGGCTTTTAAGATTCCACAGAAGTACCATAAAAACATAAAAGTACTCCATATGACCCTATAACTCTATATTCCAAGTGTTCTCCAATCATGCAATAGATTTGTGTGGGTAACAGACCAAGTTACCACTTAACTCAAGAATCACTGTGACTGTATTGAGGTGAACTGTTACTTTAAGGATTCCAAGGCACTGTGAAAAGATGCCAGTCTCTACACAAGGTCCGTAATCAACATCCAACTTCACAATCGCTGTCTCAGCAACATCTTGAGAAAGGGAATAAAACCATAAGCAAAGAGTGTGAGAAAATTTCAAACATTAAGCACTGCTTAAGTTATCCAAAGGTTAGCAGGTTCATTCTGGATATTATCATATTCATGTATTTACTCTGAAGCACTTCAAAGAATTTAATTAAAAAATAAATAAAATAAAAACACTGCATTGCCATAGTACAACGTCCAAATATCCATGTCAGGTCAAAACAAACAAAAAACTAAACTAAACAAAAAACAGCAGAACAGAAAACTACTGAACAGAACAAACTGTAGTACCATAATTTTTATTTAGTTATAAGACTGTGCTGTTGTTTATGCTGTTTCATGACTAAGCGCTGCGAGCTGGCCTTGTGCCTGCAGGCTATTTTTACAGTGTGCACAGGCAGTGATGTTGTGTATATCCTTAGTCATTCACATATATTATTAGCCCTCTTTCACCGGCCAGGACCCCTGTGATGGCAAGAAGACCAGAGGTTGCCATATAATTAACCTATGGCCAGTATTGGATCACAGACACCCATGCACTTGGCATTTTGTTTATAGGCATTAAGATGTATAATGTGCAATATGTGGGATACATTGTGATTTACTTTGTGTGATAAATATATTAAGCTGATGTTTAATTAAAATGCAAATATTCCAGCAAATAAACATCCATATGGCAGACAAAGCTGTGTTCCTCGCAGCCGTGAAGTTAATTGACTCACATCAGTTAATTAGGGAATAAGTAGAGATGATTCTCCTATCACGGTATTGATGTTGCTCTTACAGAAAGCAAACAATAATTAAAAGCATCAGAAGTTATAAAGATGAATTTAATATTATATTCTGGAAGAAAGCAAACAGAAGCATATTCCGTTAGGGTCTCCACTTGCGTCTCAGAGCGAATCTGTAGTAGGTGAGAGCTTTGAGAGCTGGTGCTGTCATTTTAAGCAACTTCCTTTTTGGCTGAGGACAGCTCAGTTTGGCTCCAGCAAAATCTGTCTGTTTGACAAGAAGCCCAGAGCGTTGTGCCTCTCAGCAACAAAACAGAGCTGCTATTGGCTCCTGCCTCAGTTGTTAAGGCAGTGGGTTAGTGTTGGATTAAGAGAAAGGTAGAAAAGCAGCGGTGATGGCTGTGATAATGCCAAGTAGGACATGTTCCTGGATCAGCATCTTTTGTTGGTCCTGGAACAACGTACCTGTCAAACAGTCCAATCCCTAGACCCAACAATCACTAGTGCACACTACAAGACAAGCTTGCCTAGTCTACGAAATATCTGTTGGCAATGGCGTTTAACCATGCTAAACTGTTTTTTCAGAGTTGGTTCAGTTTATTATTTTTTTAGATCAGATAATTAAACATACTGTTGGACAAAATATTATGATTGTAAAAAATTCAGGAATGCACCAAGACATTTTAAAATACTGTAGGGTCACAGACCAACAAAAGCAAAAACTAAAAGACTTCACAACATCATAGTTGTGATATTATATAGTTATATAAGGAGCCAATTAGACATGTCATATTCAAGAAAAAAAGACTAAAACAACTGCTTGTTGTCCTTTTATCTTTTAACTTTCTAAATATTCTGAGACCAAAAAGGTCCAGATTGTTGCCATTTTGCAGTGCAAGACTTTTAGTGTGCACATCTATGAGACAATCAAAGTTGTGACAGAACCTATGAAACATTTTCACTTGAAATCGAGTTCCAATGACAAGCCATTTGATGAAAGGGCCACACAGCCCTTGAATTTGTGCCTCAGATCTTCCATGTGCCTTTGAGCTGTCAATTGAGTTGTCGGTCCATCCACTTGTTATGACAACACATCAAAACACAATGTCAACTTAAAGCCATTTTCTTTGCTCTTGCTTGTAAAAAAATAAGCCTACTGTCCATATAAATAATTTCTCCCATTACGCACAGGATCTTGGGTTTCAGTCCCTTAAAAACATTCAGAGAACAGTAAAACTGGAGGCTTAAAACAGAAGCTGAGACAGAGGTAATGAGACTGGAGGCTCATGCTGTTCCAGTACAGCTCGTCTCTTATCCCTCGCTCTGTGAAACCCATTCGAGGGACGGAGGTTTAGGGTGGTATAGCCGAGAGAACTCATGACGGCGAAACCCATTAGTAACGGAGGTTGAGATAGACACTGTGAGAAATTAAAGATTTGTTGAGGCACATAAAAAGAACATGTACTTGAATAATTCCAAATTCCACAAAAACACTATATACTGTATATAATCCAACAAAACAATGTGTACTATGCATACTGCACACATACGGTACATGTGTACTGAAGAGACTATGCTATTCTAAGCCTTTTAACCAAAAATACCTTAAAGCACTTCATCAAATGAACTTACCTGATATACTGTACACTAAGAAGGGGTGACAGTCCAAATCAACAGACTTCACAGATATAACCCAATTAAATTCAGAATAAAATGCCCTCATGGACCACAAAAAGAGTGTATTTGGGTGGTGAATTCCCTTCGGGTGGCTAAACTGACTTAAATGCATGAGGAAGACAGTGTGTCACATTAGCCTAGATCAGCACGGCACCTTTTCACAGCGGTGTGAAATAGCTTTTCTGTCACTTGTCACAGACCATTACACATCTCTCTGGTTCTGTTATGTTTAAACAACTAGGAGACAAGGCACTTTAGAGGCTGGGATCAAAAGTGCAGTTTAAACATTCTGATAAATCCGGTGAACTTGCAGTTGTAAGTGCTCTCAGTGGACACCAACTTTTGCTAATTTGAGAAGTCAATGTGAACTTAAAGAATAGGATTGCAGCTATTGTTAGCCATGCATTACATCAAAGTGTAATAAAAGGGTGGAGCTGAGAAAAAATACTTTCACATATATGCAAGTAAAGTAGAAATAACCCAATTTGACTACAGATAAACGGAGCATTACCAGTTGACTCTACTTTGAACAGAGGGACAGAAAGCAGGGAACTCTGAGTCTGGTCTTAATATTACGCCTCTCATCTGTCACTCAAGACCAAAGATTTCAGCTTGATTCAGAGCTATGAAACGGCTGTGACCTAGTTCACTCAGTACCAAGCACATTCCCTTCTCTTACAATAACATTCAAACCCCTGTAGAACACCAAAAAGTTTTAATAAGACGCCAAGAAAGCAGCTACGACAAAACTCAATTTCATTTGCAACGTACCTGGATGTGCATGAATAACAAATGCAGTTTGTAGATACCTTTTGGGTGTATTTACAATATCAGTATAACCCAATCAAGGACAAACATCAGGTTCATAACTGCATTATAACATTTTGCAAGACACAAAAAGGCAAAGAATGATAAAATAATACATGCAAAAAACAAACACATGTAGTGACATTTGTAATCCATCAATGTTGTGTAGAAATACCCAAGACAAAAACATAGACAACAGCATAAGACAATGCAAAAAGTAAGAACTGCAATTTCACATTTCAATGTCTTGAGTGGTTGTTACAGAGATATTTATGGGGCAGTTCTGATTCCAAATAGCTTTCAGCTGTATCATGGGCCGCTCCATTCAAAGTCCCATCTGACTCAACTGCCCTCTAAACGTCTAAAAGAACACACAAATCACAGTTTGAGGTGACATGATATTAACGTAGCTAACTATAGTGATATTTTTATTTTGCAGTTATTTCCTCTTGTGCGCTCTAAATTTAGGCCCTAAGGTGGTATGGGTAAATGAAGCCTTAAATTCAAGTCACTTGTTCTTCAGTTCTGTCCTCCTGTATTCGTACCAGAGCTATTACATTCAGAGCTCAGAGTGAACAGGACTTGGAAATTAAATTCTTTATTACTGTGACCATAACTAAAAACAGCAGCTAACATTCATTAAAACAGCATGAAAAAAAAAAGAGTTATCAAGTATCTGCAAGAATATGCTAACCAGAATTTCATCCCTAGGGCAAGTCTTGGAGAGCAAACTGAGCCTTGGCTAAAATTAAAAAAAAAAGTATGTTTTAATATCGGGTCAATCAGGTCATCTATTCCATTCATTAAAAATACAAATTACTCTAAAGACTTAAAGTAGGATGGCAAAAGTAAAAAAAAAAAAAAAGAGTTATCAAGTATCTGCAAGAATATGCTAACCAGAATTTCATCCCTAGGGCAAGTCTTGGAGAGCAAACTGAGCCTTGGCTAAAATTTAAAAAAAAGTATGTTTTAATATCGGGTCAATCAGGTCATCTATTCCATTCATTAAAAATACAAATTACTCTAAAGACTTAAAGTAGGATGGCAAAAGTAACATCAACACCCTGAGATATCTTTGGTCTTATTCCTTCTTTGGAAGCGTGTGTCCGAGGGGTCAAATCCCCTTTCTCGGGCCCCAAAAATGGCCCAGCTGGGGGTCTTGGCCATATAGTCCATCGCTGAGAAGCTCTTGGTGCCTCCGCTCTCCTCGTATTCCTGAATGAGCTCCTGGAAGCGTTCGTAGTCAATCCATGTCCACCACTCCCTGTCGACTTTGAACTGCAGAGACACAAGGAAAAAAAGAGGTAAGAAAGACAGCAGGTGATAGAGCACTGTGATAAATAACACACAAAAATGGACACGCAGGTGAAGATTGGAGTGAGTCTCCCAGGCTGACAGGTGTTCACTTTGACTAATGAGGTCTGATGGTGTTTCCCATGCCATGTACACTGCCAACTGGGCAAAGCTTTGCTACTGAACACCAGGGCAGGTGTGAACCAGAGAAAGTGGGCAAAGGAAGTTGCTTTCGGAGATGGTAGTCTTTAAAGGGGTCCTATTATGCTCTTTTGCAAAGTCTTGATTTTGTTTTAGGGGGTGTACTAGAACAGGCTCTCATACTAGGTTGATATTTTTCACATATTTTACATTATTACAACACCTCTCTCCTCAGTCTGGCATGAACGCCTCGAATAGTTCCGAAGGCCCACCTTCTGAAATACGAAATATGCTGTGATTGGTTAGCTGGGCCAGTGTGTGTTGTGATTGGCAGCACTCGGCGCCTGGTATTTTACATTATTACAACACCTCTCTCCTCAGTCTGGCATGAACGCCTCGAATAGTTCCGAAGGCCCACCTTCTGAAATACGAAATATGCTGTGATTGGTTAGCTGGGCCAGTGTGTGTTGTGATTGGCACCACTCGGCGCCTGGTCGGGAAGTCTCGCCCCTTACCATAGCCGCCTGCGAGCTTCATTGTAAATATTGCGTCAAAATCAAATCAATTTGAGCGCGATTTAAACCGGATGATTATAACCACTCTTAAGTTCGTCTGCCTTGGGAAAGCTAGCGTGTCTCCCGACATAGTGATAACACTCGTTGCCTTCTCTAGTGCAGCTCAACCAGGTCTCGTTCCATTTGTCGATATTTGTGATATCACAAATCCCGGAAAATGTGTGTTGTAGTCCAATCGATTCGTTCGTTGTAGTTTTTGAAAAGTGATTTCAGTTAAATAAAATCTCCTTTTGAAGTGGACTTTGAGCTTTGTAATTTTGCAGATCTTTTTTATGCTCAAACAGCAACATTACAGACGAAGTTGAAAAAGTGAAAAAAAGCATAATAGGACCCCGTTAATTAAAAAGACATTTGCAGCCCCGTTTCAAATGACATCCGCAGTCCTTGAAGTCCTCTTTCAAGTTCATTCTTGAAATGCCGGTACATCAAGAGTGAAGCCGCAAACTAGGCACTCTCCAGCACCCTTCGGAATCACAGGATATCAAATGGGATACAATCTTCATGACAAGTGCAGAAGGTGGCAGGGTCCAATTCAAGATTGTCATTTGGGGAGCAGCCTGTGATGTGCTATATGCATAACTCACAAACTTGCACATTGAGTTGAGATGCAGAACCTGTGGTCTCCATCCGGTCCCTTCAAGCAAACCTTCTGTTTCAATCAATCTTACCCAATCTTGACTCTCAAGCTTTGGTTCTATGTGAGGGTGTAGGCACAGCTTAGTTCTGCTTGTTTTCCCACCCTATACATTTAATCAATTTCCATCAGCACCTCTAGACCATTCTCCGACACACAGATGTAAAGAATCCTAGTGGGGAGCTGCACTGATTACATTTCAAACTGCACTGATGAGATGCTGTACGGTGATCCATGCTCAGCATGGTGATGCAATCAGCTATAGGCATCAGACTCCTGTTCCTCCCATCTTTTGACATGCCCTTTCTTTCCAAGACCTCCTCATGGCCACAAAATCGATTCAGCTGTAGTATATTTTGCTCTGAAGACATTGCTGAGGTGCCTGATTGGGTTGCTGGAGACTAGGGTCCAGGGAAAAGCATTTCAGAGTGAAAGTCAAGTCTTGAAAGCAAGTATAACTCTTTCAAGCGAAGCATGCTTTCAAGTCAAGACTTGAGGAACCACAAGAGCTGATAAACAATGACTTGGAATAAGGCATCTTGTTTGGACAGTTCCTGAAGAGTATTGCAAGTATCCAAGGACAAACTCTATCCAAGCTAACAAAGCTGTCAAGAGAGGATCAGACCACTGCAGGCTCTCTTGATGACAACCACTGTCCAACTTGCTGAAAGATGCCCGCTGCCTCAAAGACAACCTGGTCACGTGCACCACAACTGAGAAGCATGCATACTTTCCCACTACTGAAAATGCCAAGGCCACCATTTCCTCTTAGTGCAGTGCCAAGAATGTGATCTTTGTCCTCGTGTCATATTGCCTCTGTTTAGCTGCTTACCTGAAGCTTCCTAGAGGCAGCCTCAAAAGCTATCTCTGCAGTCAGTCTGTAAGGCCTTAAGCAGTTTGCATCCTCTGGGGAACCTTCTTCCTCGGCTGCATGTTCTTATTTCATAGTAATTTGCTGAGGTGAATCACTCCATAGCCTTCTCACAGATACTCAGCAGTCAGAAGATGAAGGCTCCCATGGGGCCCAACTAGTCTCTCCGGGAACGCCACGGATACATCCCCAACCGCTTTAAAGATCTCTTCCCCTCCTTGTCAATCTTACACACATGCAGTTTGGCTCAGCGTTCTCCTATATTACTCATATTAGGAAGCAAGGTGTTGGGAAGTAACTAAAAATAGCATTAAGTCGAGTTATCTTTCACAAGGACAGTTCCCTTTAATGGAAAAAAGCAACAAATAAACAAACTGGGTTTTTGTGTGCCAAAGTCAACCATTTTAAATGCTACAAATGTATTTAGGCATCACTACAATATAAATGTACAGTATGAGACAAATTAAATTCCCAATATTGTCCAATAAGATAAAAATGGTTGATAATTGATATAATTAACATAGCATAATCAATACATTTGGTTTGAAGCTGTAACCTTAATTAATATCCTCATTTATTTGTTGCCAGATAAATATCACAAAGGGCAGCTGAACTATAAATTATGAACTTCTAACTTGGCAAGCTATAGTTTCAAACTGGCTTCCTTAAGTAGAGTCCAAAATGGAGAAAATAGACAGGAATACTGAACTTTAGATGCCATATAAGAGAGTGAAACTGGCAGCCCTTTTATTTTCCGAGTGCAAGACTATCCACATCTGCCCTTCCAACAGATGGCCATGCATTGAGAGAGTGCACTTTAAGGCTTCATTCATTTGTAAAATTGCTTCTGCGCAGCTAACTGGGAGCACTAAACATATGAAGTCACTATGTAAATGTGGTTCTGTCAGGACCACTATTTTTTTGGGACACCACATCACCAAACACAGATTGCAGCCCCTCTTTCATTCCCTAAACACTATGAACATCCCCCAAAATTAATGATGCTCTTGTCTATACGGTGTGCTGTGGGGTTTCTTCAGTCTGGTGTAGTCACTGAGAAACTATTGGGACTTTAAAGTTTAAATGGGTAATCTTGTTTAGGAATTAATGAATGTTCATAAGGCCAGCTAAGGCTTTTTGAAAAATGCAACATGCTTCAAGGCTACATTACTAAGGCAAGCATCTCTATTACTATTGCTCATATTTAGGACTGTAAGTAAACCTTAAGTATTAAATGAAGTATTAAACTTTGGTGCATAACTTGCCCTGCACATTTTGTGAATAATTAAACTGTTCTGCTTCCTGAATAGATGTGCTATTACTTTTTTAAATGATCAGGATGATAAAATGGAGAAAATATCCCAAAGACTTACATTGAAAGGACCAGATTCATATCTACTGACCAGAATATCACAGGACATTTTAGAAAATCAAGCTTCTTCTACTTGTAAAACTCTTGATGGATTTAAATCCTTGTTTAACCCTAATTTACATGCTTTAATTTCCTTCCTTCAGTTCAGAACATGGAGAGAGAGGCAGAGCTTTATGAGGACACAGCGCACTAACTTCATGAGAATATAAGCTGTCAGCTCCAAACAGTGAAGAGCTGTAAATTCATTCAGAGGGTCTTACCTCGTCAAGAACACCACGGATAAAGGGCAAATGTTTGCAACCCTGAAATAATAAAAAAAAGGAATGCGCCAGCTCAACAAAGTCAATGCAATGAAATACTGATAGTGGCCTTCCAAGGTCTATGTGAAAAATGGCTTCTTAGAACAGGGACAATGGGCCTTTTTAGCACCCTTGTGAGTCACGGCTGAGCTGAACAAGTTGAGAGAGAGTCCCTGTGCGGTCGGTGGTGACGTAGTGAGGAATTAATTTTTACATCAAATTCAATGCCTTTTTATTTAGATGTCTGTCACAGGCAATGCAAAGACAGCTCTTTAACATGCATAAGGCAGGGACAAAAACCTTGCAGAGGAAGGCAAAGCAGCTCAGTGCTTGAGTGCTGGGGACTGGCTTTATCTCAGTGTCATTTCAGAAGCAAGACTGTATGACTGCTGAAGACTGCAAAGAAGTCAGGATCATTTGGATACAATGGGGGTTTGCTTTTGAAGTGTTCACATTACACCCTAAAGCATCTTCCTCAGTGAATCATGAGATGCAGCCCCGCCCACAAGGAGTGACCATGTATCTAACTATAATATAATTGGTTCATAATGGTGTGAGGAGGCCTAAGAGCTGCTCAACACGGCAAAAATCTTCGTCCAACAAACCCCACGCCTGTGAAAAGTCCTTCATTCGTTTTTTTGTTGTCGTTATTACTAAATTGGCACCCGATCTTCATAGGTCTCACATCCAGCCTCCTTAAGCTGCCCACCAACAAACCTCTTTGCTTTGTTTCCAAACACTTGATGGTAAGGCAGTGGAGGACCAAGCACCTTCTCATGCCTGTGTGGGCTTGAGTGGAGGTTGCTCTGGGCACTCACAATGATTACGACTCTCCACTACTGTAGCTCATTTACAGCCAGCGTGTTTGTAGCTCTGCATGATGAGACAAGATATGAATGGAGGGGTTTTAAAAAAATGCAAACAGGTAGACACATGCAATTACAGTTCCTTACTGCATGTAAGAGAGCTCTCTTCGCCTGAAGAGAGAAAGAAACTGAATTAATTAATGGAATATTTAGAAATTAAGCTAATAAGCAAGGAACATGTTAAAAAGGAAGTAAAAAGCATGGAAATGGAAGGACAAGATATGTCTAGGTCAGTATAAGATATCAGTTATTGCAAGAAAAATAAAGTCAAAAATGATGTAAAATTAGAATTGTTCCATAACAGCATTTCAAAGCACAATATGGAGTTAACTGGGTCAGATATGGAGTGAAAGATGTTTTCCAAGTCCAAAAAAAAATGAAAAAGAAAAAACTTAAAGCACAAGAAAATGAAAATTCTAAAATTTATTTACCCTCATGAAACACAAAAAAAGATGATATTTTGAACAATGTTTCAGATATTTTTCCTAAATTATTAAAGTCAATGGGGTTCATTCACACTCCAAGAAGGACATAAAGGCCTTGTTAAATGAATCCATGTACTAACATCAAACCTTGCCTGGTTCTGGTTTTAATGCCATGCTGGCTTGTTTAGTTTTTTTTATAGAGAAAACCATGCTTGAGGTATTGCAATTTAAAACAGAACTAAAAGGTATTTCAGAGCCATTTCCTAAAACAATTTTAAAACTAAATTTGGATCAACTTGATTAAAAACTTTGTCAAGGATATCAACAGAGTAAAAAATGAGTGCGGGCATCATGAGTACATGACTTGTTGTCAGCTATTATTAAAAGAAAACATACCCATATTTGAAGAACTGTGCGAGTATTCGTTTATTTCGATCTGTATATTTTGACCTGTTCATCATACAAAGAGATTGTGCCGCTTCAAAAGTTAAATTGTAATGATTCATTTTTATACCATTTATTGTTGAAAGATTTTGGACCCTATATTAACAAAAGCAGCTTCAGAATATCTTTCTAGAAGTCATACAGTTTGGAACGAAATGAGGGTGAGTAAATGATGAAGGTCTGCCGGTCTTAGCAGGTTTAAGCTGGTCTCCCAGTTAGGCTAAGCAGGTCTGGCCAGCAAAGAACACCCGATGAGGCTGGGAGGATCTGAAAAGACTGATTTCAGATGTTTTTAAGCAGGGAAAACACTCAAGGCTTTATGTTATTTGGGTAAGTGAAATACCCCATTGTGTGTTAAAATGGAAATATTCACCATAGAATCACATGCAGAAATTTATGGTACTTGATTTCAGAATACAAACAGCAAATCATAAAAGGATATTGAAGCACCATATAATACTTGCACATAAATATGTTTTTTGTTTGTGAGAGAAGACCGCTGGTAAGGGCTCACTGCCCACGCAAACCATTACAGAAGCTGTCACAATAAACACATGTAAAACAAGAGTGGCTGTAAGAATGACTAGCGCTGTGTCAGGAGACAGCATAAAAATGCAGGAAGGAAGGTTTAACCCTGAATGGCAGTTTAATGCAAGTGCCCATATCAACACTTTTTCAATGACATTTACAGAAATGGCAGTGGTATCTATTTGTAACAGCTTTAAAAAGTGGTTTAAGTCGAAAAAAGGAAATTACAGTACGAGCTCCGTTTCTATGAAACGCAGTTCAGGAGTAGGACAGCAGCTATGAACAGCATGTCTGTTCAGGGTTACCTTGTTGTGTGCAAGTAACAGACAGTTGGAGTGCTCGTGTTCGCAGGCAATTTCATAGTCTGGGAGCAGGTTGGCAAGCTGCTGCACAAAGTAGACGACCTCCTCGTGCCAGGGTACGTTGGCCATTGTCAGGCTACTGGCTGAGCTCTCGCCACAGTATGTCACTCCCTAGAGGACAAGCAAAAAGACAAGGACAAAACTGTAAAATGGGACATTTGAATTGTCCAAGTCATAAACACAGCATGATAAAATCTCATCATGAAAGTATCAACATAAAACAGACTCAGTTCTTATTGGGTTCATCTTATTGGATAAGCCACTTTCTTCTGTTGTAAAATATGAACACACATCCATGCAAACTCACAGTCCATTAGTATCTTTAATTGTAGGGATGCACAATATATCCATATGATATTGGTTATTGGATTCAATTCTGAACATTCCATTTTTTTTTGTATTGAATCATTATTGAAATTTCAATACTTTTCAACACAATATTGAGTATTGTCTGTTTTTGCTCATTTTCGCCAATGAAAATGGTTCTAAACAAAGCCACAGCAGACATGTTACACATCTCTGAACAGCAACACACAGTGGTAGTGGTGTTTCCTTAGTGAATGAATCCATGTTTTTAAAAGAATCAAGTGAGCCAATGATTCAGTGAGCCATTCATAAAGACAGTCACTAGCTTAGTTTCTAAATCAATCAGCCATTTGAAAGAAGTGGTTGAATGAATGACCGAATGGCTCACTCTTTAAGAAGACAATGACTTGCCACCAACTACTGGCAGTTTTAGTTTCATATTTCATTTAAAAAAATCATTTCAATATTACATTTTTAAAAACCCATTAATGTCCATTTAAAACCTGTTAATCTCAGCATTACACAATTCTAAATGCAGTGTAAATGCATTCAGGCCACCTCTGAACCATCTTTTGGATGGCCATTTCTCAACCCAAATTGATGTGCGATTAGATGTGATTTGCGATCTCAGATTGAGATTTGATTAATTGGCACACCATGTAATTAATTTTACATACAGCCATTATCTAACACTCAATCTTTAAAAACACTGTTAAATGCAATTGAAATAAATCACTGAAATAAGTAGTTTTACAAACTTTATAAGGCAAAACAGTATAGAATTTCAACATTAGCCATTTATCAGCTATTGGCCATATCATGAACATATTGGACACTTTTTTATTGTATTAGTGATGCCGACATTTAATAAAAGCAATCAAATCACTGTAACACACTCCCACTGTTAGCTTTCATTTAAAATAGTTACAATCATGCTTTGCAGGATACAGCTGATGTTGCCCTGACTCTTTGAACATTTTAGATTTAACTGTACAAAAAGGGACACAAAAACACTCTGCATCATATCAGCGCGCACAGCCCAAGGACACAGTGGCGCGTGGAGGATGATTTGGTTTTTCTGTGGATGATGGAGACTGAGACGGCCAGATCATCTCATTTAACACCTACACACACACAACAGGGCAGCGTTCAAATCACACCTCATAGATGTTGCTGTGATCAGGACGAACAGGCTATGAGGGCTGCATGTACCACATGCTGGGAATGCAAATTCACTTTACATTAATACGATTTCTGTCGTCATGAACTCTGATGTCTAATTGGATATTGAAACAAACTGGTGTCAAGTCAGGTCACGTACTCCGTTTGAACCTTCACACATCATGAAAAGTAGTGATTAATAATCCTTGGCAACCAAATAAGTGACATCACCGCTGGATGAAAACCGGCCTCATTTGTGGTGTTGGCTAGTATTAGTTCATGGGTCTGCTTGTGTGTAGGAGTAGCTGTGCTGTTGAAAAGACATTACTCATCCTGTGATAGAGTGAAAACCCATTCGGTGAGGCTTTATCTTATTTCAGTCTTCATCACGCTGAGCTGTTAGCACTCTATTACGCCGGACATCGATAGATGAACATCTCCGAGCCATTGAGAGAATCAAAAAAGAGACGTCATGTGAAAGAGATATCTTGATGCATCGTAACTGTAAACAGTGCATCAACGGTTTAAATGGTTCCGAAATGAACACACCACAAGGCCAGATGAATGGAGATTAAAAACGAATTAATTCTAAATAATGTGATTTTGTTTTTGTGATTAAGCTATAGCATTTGTGCATTTATACTAAATGCATTTCTGTCAGGACCACTATCGTCAAAGATGATTGACAATTAGCATACAGTTTGGATTGGCGGTATGGTTCTGTTCTGGGCAAGAACTCCCTGCGCATCCATGCAGCCTAGCATGGATGAGAGCAGGGAGAGCAGCGATAACCCCCCCAGGGTAAACAGAACAGAACCAACATAAATGTATTGCAGATATCGTTAAAGTTCAATAATGTTATGTACACATTTTAGAATTAGTCTGATTCAAAGGAGAATCAGAAGGCTGAATCCTGACGGACAGAGGAGGAGTTGGGGATGGAGGAGGGTAATTAGCTATTGAGCAATGCGAAAACTGCTGATAACTGAGGGACCTTATATATGAATGCTTAGATAGGTGTCGTAATCCCATAGGTTGATGGGGATCAGCTGAGAGTCAGCTGATGCGAGCTGGACTAATGTGACCTGCCAGAACTAATGCTATGCTAGATTTAGACTACAGTTATTCATTCAAATAAATAGAAACCATATAGTTCCATTTTACCATGGTACTGAGGTACTATATGTGTGGTTTTAACTGTGGTTAGCATGATATAAATGTGTCCTACTTAGACCAATGGTTAATTTTAAAGGGGTCATATGATGCGATTTAAATTTTTCCTTTCTCTTTGGAGTGTTACAAGCTCTTGGTTGCAAAGTTGCAAAAACTAAAGTCTCAAATTTAAAGAGATATTCTTTATAAAAGTTAAGAGTCAACCATGCCTAAAACAGCTCGTTCTAACACGCCCCCACATGTCTACGTCACGATGTGGGAAGATTTGCATAACACCGCCCAAATGTTCACGCAAAGAAAGAAGGCGTAACTTTTATTCTCGCTGTAGTATTGTTGTTGCCGGTGCCGCCATGTCGTGAAGACGCTGTGTGTTTCGTTGTGAAAGCGAAACTACTTTGTTTGGCCTTCCAAAAGAGGACGATATCTGCTTTGTCATGCCTGGAGCTGATCTGTGCTGGTCGCTGAGGAAATACATCAACTTCGCGCTGTGGATCGCCGGATCGGCTTTCACTGTGGATGAAGCGGAGTCCAGCCCGGGGTCGTCACATGTGGTTGCCGCAAGCCGGCCCGCCGCCGCTCACTCTAGCCCGCCGTGTGTGACACTGTGTTTCGTTGTGAAAGCGAAACTACTTTGTTTGGCCTTCCA